TGTGTGTGTGTGTGTGTGTGTGTGTGTGTGTGTGTGTGTGTGTGTGTACACAAAGATCAAAGGACCTTAGAAGGAGTAGGCTTGGCAGCAAGTGCTTTACCCTCTGTGCATACCATCTTGCTGTGCCTCTTCCCATCCCCCACCCCACCCCCCTTTATGTTGCATGGATAGAAAATTGGGAGATTTTTAATTGTTACCGGTGAAGGCTTGCATAAATGGGTTTGTAATGACAGAAAATTGAAAACATCATTCACAGTGGGATAATTGTCATTTCCATATAGTAGATGGCTATCTAGCTCTTGGAATATTTATTTTTAGGGAATTATCTCCAGTGTAAACTGCTAAATAAGCTCCAAAAGGTATTAATAGATGCCATTGAAGAATAGCCTACTTTGTATAAAGTAGCATCTTACTTATGGGTTACAATAATATCCCTATTCACCAAGAATGCAGGAAGAGAAAAGAGGGGTTCTTTATCTCTACCATGTAATCTTATGCTGTCAGACCCATCTGCCTGTCTTGCATGCACCACCACACCTAATGCTACTCTTCAAATATCTCCATTTAAGGTTGTTTTGTAATAGTTTCTTTCTAGTATTTTCTAGTTGGAAGCTCAGGACAGCTATGGTTATAGCTAAACACAGATTTACAGACCTAGGTGTGAGCCGTGCTGATGACATTATCTTGACAAGTAAGCATTTGAGTGCTCTGCAGCCTGTGCTCTGCAGGTTGGACAATTTTCCATCCATTGTGGTCCAGTGAAGCCAAAAAGGTCGATGCCTGTGGTAGACAGTCAGATGCCAAATGACAGTTTGTCATTCCTTTATAAGTTTACATAGTTCAGAAAAAGTTAAGCACTGTGTATATTATTATGAAGAGGTTTTTTGTTTGTTTTTGTTTGTTTGTTTTATTTTTGTTTTTTTGTTTTTTGTTTTTTTTAAGACAGGGTTTCTCTGTGTAGTTCTGGCTGTCCTGGAACTCATTCTGTAGACCAGGCTGACCTCGAACTCAGGAATCCACCTGCCTCTGCCTCCCAAGTGCTGGGATTAAAGGCATGTGCCATCACTGCCCGGCATGAAGAGCTGTTTTTAAGATATGTTTATGTATGAATGTTTTATCTGCATGTATGTATGTGCATCACAAATTTGCCTGGTGCCTATGAAGGTCAGAATAGGACTCCAGATCCTCTTGAGCAAAGATAACAGATGGTTGTAAGCTTTCATGTGAGTACTGGCAGGAAAACTAGGTCCTCTGCAAGAGAGAGGAGTACTCTTAACTGCTGAGCTAGCTATCCAGACCCCATATGAACTGTTGTAGTAGTATTTTAAAGATTTTGATCTCTAGCAATTTTACTGTACCAACTTCACAAAAAGACTTCTAAATGTTAAGATAAAAAATCAGGACTTTATTTCTGTTTTTATAGATTTTTGATGAAATTGAGTCATGAAACTGTAACCATTGAATTGAAGAATGGAACACAAGTCCATGGAACAATCACAGGTAAGAAGGGTGGACCGTTTCTGTAGTTTTAAGGTTTTTCTCTCATGGTTCACTCTCTAGAAAAGTTTTTGTTTTGTTTTGTTTTTGGTTGTTTAATGAGCATTGTTGTAGTACAAGTCCTCATTATTTTTGTCTGAATTACCAAGTGGACCTTAATTAAGCCTCATCTTTTTTAAAAAAAAAATTTATGTATATTAGTGTTTTGCCTGCACATACGTCTGTGTGAGGTATCAGATCCCTAGAACTGTACTTGTGAGCTACCAAGTGGGTGCTGGGAATTGAACTCAGGTCCTTTGGAAGAGCAGCCTGTGCTTTTACCTGCTGAGCCATCTTTCTTGCCCCATTTATCTACATTCTTGTACTAAACCAACCAAACCAAATTGCTAGGTGCTGCTTGTGTTTTCTTACCTTTTATACCTTTGCTTGTGTGTGTTCTTCTGCATAGAATATTGCTTCTTCTAAAACACATCTGAAACTTGTACTTTTATTACTTTTGTTTCACATTTGACTGTAAGTTGTTATTGGCCTATGTTAATTATATATGATTTTTTACTATGGTATTTTCGTACATATGTGCTGTATTTTTATCATTGTTCATCCTTCATTATCCTTTCCTGTTCATCTCCTGAGACTTTTTTTAAAAGTGGTTATCAAAGGGGGAAAAATAGTATCTTAACATGTGTTCCTGTTCTCTAAAGTACTGAACTTGTAGATGTGTACGTTTTTAATAGGTAGGTCCAGTGTTTTAGTAAACTAAGGGGAAATGGGATGGCGTTTTGTGACTTTTCCAGAAGTTTTCAGTACTAATTGTGAATGGAACTTGCCTATTTATGTTTTTAGATATGTCCAATCTTCATATCTAAGGATGTATACTTATTGCCCTTGTTAAAGTTCCTTGAGTAGGGATTTGGTCTGTTCCCTGTAGAACAGCATTGGGAAAGATCTTGTTGTCTTCCTCCTCCTCCTCCTCTTCTTCTTCCTCTTCTTCCTCCTCTTCTTCCTCCTCCTCCTTTTCCTCTTCTTCCTCCTCTTCTTCCTCTTCTTCCTCCTCTTCTTCCTCATCCTCTTTCTTAGATGCAGGATTTATGTATCTATTACAGAACTGGCCTCAAACTCAGTATGTATATTTGAAATTGGCCTTCTAGTTTCGTGCCTCTAGCTCCTGGCTGCTGGTGCTATAGACGTGCACCACCACACCTCTTTATTTAGTAATGGGGATTGAAGCCAGCACTTCATGCATACTAAGGAAGTACTCTACCAGCTGAGCTATATTCCCAAACCCCAGAGTAGCATGTTTGCACTCCCCCCATTTTTTTTTTTTTGTCAAAATCTAACGAAAATTGTAATACAATCACAAAGTAAAAAACAAAACAAAAAACCCTGACACAAGTTTCTGTATCTTATATGAGTGTATATACATCTAAGCATATGGAGGAGATGGAATGTATTAAGGCTATTTAGGAAAGAAGAGAACTTTCTTCTTTGGAAAAAAAGAGGGAAGCATTTGTTGGTTTTTTTGTGGTTTGTTTGTTTGAGACAGATTTTTGGTATAGCTGTCTGTCCTGGAACTTGGTCTGTAGAACAGGCTGGTCTTGAACTCACTAAGATTGGCCTGACTCTGCTAGAATTAAAGGCTTGCTCCACCCCTGCCCAGCAAAGAAAGGATTTGTAATAGTGAATTTTTGGAGAGAAAAACAGTAAGATTAGCCTGGCATGGTGGCTCATGCTTATAATGGTAACACTTAGGACGCTAGGCAGAACCCATAGTTTGAGGCAACTCTGGGCTTCGTAGTGACAGCCTGTCTTAACAGAACAAAAACAAATACACAAACAAGCTCAGTTAAGGGCTGGGTTGCAAGGTGATAGAGCAGTTGCCTAGCATGCTTGAAGTCTTGGATTCAGTCTATAGCACCACAAAAAAAATAAAAATAAAAAATAAAAACCTTCATATTTAGAAAGACATAATAAGGACCCAGACAAATGACCTAGTTGGTAAAGTGCTGTACAAGCTTGAGAACCTAAGTTCAGATCCCTAGCTCCCCCAAAAGCTGGGTACTTCCTGTTCCTTTAGTTCTAGTTCTGTGAGAGACTGTCTCAGAAAACAAGGTAGAGGGTGTGCCAGCTCAGACCTGTGGGTTAAGGCATCTGCTGCCAAGCCTGACAACTGAATACATGCCTCAGGATTTACATAGAGGAAAGAGAGAACTGATTCTTGTGAGTTGTCCTGATCTCTAGACATGCACCATAACACATAGGTAACCTGCCTTCCTACATAACCATACTCATACAAATAAATTTTGAAAAGATTCTGTTTTTAACTCCATATGTATGTGAGTGTAGGTACCTTTGGAGGCCAGAGGCACTGGGTCTCTCTGGAGCTGTAGTTACAGGCAGTTAGTTATGAGCCTACTGATATGGGTACTGGGAACCAAACTTGGTTCTCTGTAAGAGCCTTGCTTACTTACCATTCATCCATGTCTGTAGCCCCTAAAAATTATTTTAAGTAAATAAATAGGCATGTTAAACTGAGTATGATGGTAAGTACTTGTAAAGCAAACACTTGAGAGACTTGGGCAGGAGAATCACAAGTCTGAGGTCAGCTTGGGGTACATAGACTGTCTCAGGAAAGTGGGAGAGTAGTTCTAGTGATAAGAAAAAAGTACCTTTGATAGGGAAAAAGACTATAGATCTTTAAGAAGAAAGGCCTGTAGTGTGATAGAATGTTGGGTAAGAAGTTATGGGGACAATGGGAGAATTTTACCACAGACACTTATCTAATCCTGGGACAAGAATTCAGTTCTGAAGGTAGTGGACTAGTGGTTCCTTCATTGCTTGCTGTGTTCATGTTCTTTGTCTAGCAGATACGTTCCTTGTCCAGGCTTTCCTTGCATACATGCATTCCTCATGCCTCAGCCTCTTGAATGCTGAGATTACAGGAGTCATTTAACCACACCACCAGTGCATTCAATTCTGTAAGTGCACTCAGCTCTGTACAGAGGTATTGTGGCTAGGAAAAGTCTTTAAGAAGGAAAAATTGCTGATTTATTTTGACGTTTTCCCCCATTGTGCATGTATTAAGTTGTCACAGAAACTTGACCTGTAACATAGCAGAAAGAACTCCACAGTATGATCTCAACTCTTTGCAAGATAGATTGCCTCCTTTATCATGCTGGTAATTGTTTTGCTTTCCCCCCTTTAGGTGTAGATGTTAGCATGAATACACACCTTAAAGCTGTGAAGATGACCCTGAAGAACAGAGAACCTGTGCAGTTGGAAACATTGAGCATTCGAGGCAATAATATTCGATATTTTATTCTACCAGACAGCTTACCTCTAGATACACTACTTGTGGATGTTGAGCCTAAGGTGAAATCTAAGAAAAGAGAAGCTGGTAAGTGTGAAGGTGTTTTATGTATAATGTATTTAAATCTTAACTCACTGTTCAGAATACATTTGTGAACAAGGGTGTTTTTGTTGCTCAGAATGTTTGTCTTAGTACATGTGTTTCTTAGAGCTCCTGGTGCTGGCTGTGAAGAGCCTATCAGTCCTTTTCTTCCATGAAGTCTAGATTTGGAGGCTGGCTGCATCACTTCCCTTTCCTCTCCCTCTACCACTTTCTTGTTGAGATACTTGATAAATTCTTTCATTGTGAATTTTCTTGCCCATACAGCTTGCCCATACTTTAAATTTGGTGATGTTCTTCCTGGCCTTTTAACTGATTATTATTCTCTCCTCTCCTCTCCTCTCCTCTCCTCTCCTCTCCTCTCCTCTCCTCTCCTCTCCTCTCCTCTCCTCTCCTCTCCTCTCCTCTCCTCTCCTCTCCTCTCTTCTTTCTCTCTCCCTCCCTCCTCTTCCTCTTCTTCCTCCTCCTCTTCCCCCCCCCCCTGCCTTTTTATTCGGTCTTCTGGGAAAGTAGTCTTACCTTTGTTCTCTGAGTCAGCACATACTTATTTTTAGGCCTCCTTTGATTTTTTTTTTTTCTTAAGATCCTGTTATTTTGTTGCTGATAGAGCTCTATTGTTGATAGAATATTAATTGTAGGTTTCCCTTTTGGGTAGTGTGTATGTGCACGTGCACTCGCGCGCGTGCACACACAGTGTGTAGACCAGCCTGGCCTTAAACTCAAGAGATCTGCCTGAAATTAAAGGCACATGCCACTATATACCATGTTAGTTTTGTTTGTTTGTTTAGCTTTTTATGGGTTCTTTGTAAATTTCACATCATGCACCATTCATTTCCCCCTCTGTTCATACTTGCCCTCCACCCTTACAACCTCCCTCCCAACAGAGGGAAAAAAAAATCTCATTGTGGAAGCTGTAGTGCACGGTGTGTCCCACAGTATACTCTTTTGTCCATACTTATTTGCTTACAAATACTCATTGCAATGAGTCAAATACAAGGCCTGCTACAAGGTCTCTGGTTTCTGTTATACTATTCATACTGGAACCTCACTGGGACTCCTATCAGATATCCTGTTGTTGCCCTGTGTCATAGAGATCCTATAGTTTTCGATCTCTTCAGCACTCCCCAACAGTTCATGGATAAGGTAGATGTTGGGGTGAACCAATTCAAAGCCCTGGGCCTGAGATGTATCTGAGCTGGTCAGCCCACTGGCTCTCCCATGGGTCAGGCTTTCCTGAGTGCAGCCACAGGTGAGGGGCAAAGTTAGCTCTCTTGCTCTCATGACCTCGGGGCTAGGTCTCCTGGGTGTTGCAGGTGGTGAGAGGTGAATGGTGAGGAGTGGTAGGGCCAAGTCTCCCACATTTGTATCCTTAGCTGGCTCACTGAAACTCCCACAATATGAAGGGCCCGCTCTCCCAGAGTACTGCAGCTTGGAGACAGAAGGGTGGGGTCAGCTCTCCCAAGATACCCAGGTGAGGGGTAGGCCTAGTTCTATACAGCCCTCAGAGAGCAGTAGTCCCCCCGGTGGCAGCCCAGACAAGGTTTGTTCACCTGGCACAGACCCAGATGTAGTCCAAGTGGCAGCACAGGTGGCATTACTAGCTACTCACATCAGGCTGTTCCTTTGAGTCTCCAGTTGTGCCCACATTCTTTTCCTCTTTCTCTTATATTTCTCCACCTCTTAGTGACCTTCTCCACAGGGTTTCTGAGTGTCTGGGGTCGTCTCAGAAGTGTTCTCTGAAGTACCATGTCTCACTCATGCACTATGGCTCTTGGCATGGGTCACCTTGGGCATGCATGGTCTACTCCCCAAGGCCTGCCCGGCACCAGACTGGTGGCGATCTCAGGCTAGCTGCCTGCCAGGGCTCACTCATCAACTGGCCAGTCTATCTCGGGCTCACGCCCACACAGGCTCATGGTGCCAAGCAGGGTTCTTCTGGCCTCTGGCTTGTTCCTTGTCCTGGGAGCCTGTTCCCACTACTAATCATTCTGATGTTCACAGGTCAGAACACTGAATTTAGACTTAGCCTCTCTCCTCTCTGCCACCTACTGACACACGTGACACAGCAGCCATACTCACAACACCTGTAGGGTTTTATTTTATACACATAAAGAATATTTTGATTAGCTCCTTCTGACCCTCCCTCTTCTTCCTATATATCCCAACTTCATGTCTGATTGTGTGTGTATTGGTGTAGGACTGTTGTACCAGGGCCAAATACCTGAAGAACAAACTCTCCCAATTTTTTCTTTGAGAAGTTTTTACTATGTTGACAATGTTGGCTTTCTTTTTCATTCGTTCATTCATTCATTCATTCATTCATTCATTCATTCAATCCTGTGTTAAGTTCTCATAAAGCCAAGCTGGTCTCAAATAAGCTGTGTACCCAAGAGTAACTTTGAACTTACTCCACTACTTCTGCCTCTACTTCCAAGTGCTAGGATTACAGTTGTTTGCCTTCCTGATTTATGTGGGTGCTAGTGACCAAAGCTGTCTTCAGACACACCAGAAGAGGGCATCTGATCCATTACAGATGGTTGTGAGCCACCATGTGGTTGCTGGCAGTTGAACTCAGGACCTCTAGAAGAGCAGTCAGTTCTTTTAACCACTGAGCCATCTCTCTAGCCCCCACTATTTAGTTTTATAAAGACAGTTAAAGAGGACATTCTGGGGAAAGAGGCTAGACTTCTTACCTATTGGGTCTTTGCCAAGAAATGGCTCAGTAAAATTACTTGCTGTGGAAATCTCATGACCTGAGTTTGATCCCCAAATCAGCAGTGGAAAGAGAAGCCAACTTCCAAAAGTTGTACTCTAGCATCCTCTCAAATACACACACACACACACACACACACATCATATCACATACATGTATGTGATAGTAAAACAATTTATTAAAAACCAACATTGGAGGATTGAATGGAGGATCTTACACACACAAGACGAACTATCTACTACTTAGCTACATTCCCACATTCCCATCATATTGCTGTTTTTATTTTTACATTTATGGTGTGTGTCTGTGGGGGGGGGGGGGTGGGGGGGCACAAGAGAGAATGTGTCAGTCTATGAGGATTTTTCACGTTGGAACCACAGTTTACAACAATTCAGTGTCTGCTTTGGGAGATATGACTGTCAGCCAGCAATATAAGAGTAGGACAGGAGAAAAGGGCTGTGATTTCATAGATGTTTAGCATATTGACTTTGAGTCTTGTCTTCCAACCAAAAATGCACTTTGTCTTGTAGCCCACTGGAATTGTTAAAACAATACAAATGCTTTGGGGTGGGGGTTGGTTCCTCCCTACAGTTTAAAAAGAGAGGCAATTATAATTCATAGCTTGAAAAAACACTGATTTAGCGTTTTAAGTCCTGCGTTATGCTGCTGTTTTTCTAAATCTCAAGCCTTTCTGTGTCAGTGTCTGATTCCTTCTACTTTCTCTTTCCTACCTACTTTGTAAAGGAAATGATGACAAGCTTTACAAAATGAGGCCGACTGTTAGTCTGACTGATCTCCACAAATAATGTCAGCCATTTTTTGTTTTTTGTCTCTGTCTTGTATCATCTTACTTTTTGTATCTAAGATCCTAGTTTCTTTAGAAAGCTATTCTTCTTTTACTAAATGTACACCTTTTAATTCCAGCACTTGAGAGGCAGAGACAGGTGGATCTCTGTAAGTTTGAAGCCAGCCTGGTCTACAAAGTAAGGTCTGGGAAGCAAGGGCTAGAAAAGAACAAGCCTTAAAATAAATAAATGTATGGCTTTACCAGGGTGTGGGGATATCATAGCTCAGTGGCAAACCACTGCATGATGCCCTAGGTTTGATTTTGACTGTAAGGTGGTGGTGTTACACACACCTCAGTCTGACTGCATCAAGCAGGTACACTGCTTTCTTGCCTTTGCTTTTTTTTTTTTCCCCTCATGATGTCCAGCTAGAGATATGGCTGTGTGTTCAAGGCTAAGCCATGATTAAGCCAAATAAGTTTTCAAGCTCCAATTTGGGTTAACTTGCTTGGCTTTTATTCAGTAAGCAGAAATCTGACACAGGCTGGGCAGTGGTGGCGCACACCTTTAATCCCAGCACTTGGGAGGCAGAGGCAGGCGGATTTCTGAGTTCAAGGCCAGCCTAGTCTACAGAGTGAGTTCCAGGACAGCCAGGGCTACACAGAGAAACCCCATCTGGGGGGGGGGGGGAACACAGAAAACAAACAAACAAAAAATCTGACACAGGGTGTAAATTTGTCTCCCTGCTTTTTACATGATGGTGGTGGTGGTCATATTTGAGAAAAGCTGAGTTAAAGATTTCTTTACTATAGTTGCTAATTTAAGAGGTGCAGGTGGGAAAGGGCTCAGGGGTAAGCCTGTGTGGTAGCGGGTACTGTGCTGTTGAAGAGAATTTCACTTGCTTTGTCTTTCCCCAGTTGCAGGAAGAGGCCGAGGCCGGGGTAGAGGAAGAGGACGTGGTCGCGGCAGAGGAAGAGGGGGTCCTAGGCGATAATGTCTCTCAAGATTACTGTTCAAAGTGATAAGGAATTTGGGGATATTTTTTGTACATGTTTTGTTTGTTTGTCAGTTTTTAATAAACATAAGCGTAGGGACAGAGTTGTCTGCTTATCAAATTAAAGTTTTAGTGTCTACGGTATTCACGTAGTATGTTCAGTTCTGGGAGTCGGTCGCATGAAGTACATAAGTACTAAATGTGGGTTTGATTTCTTTGAGTCCATTTTTTGGGCCCCTTTTGAGATGAGATAAACTCTTGGTATTTCAATACGGTTCTTGTGGGATGAGGTCTAAACCTCATGCTCTTCAGTTTTCCTCTATGGAGTCTTCATGGTAAAAGCAAAAGAATAAACGATTTTGCCTGGTGGTGGTGGTGGCGGTGTATGTCTCTACTCCCAAGCACTCAGGAGGCAGGGGGGAGACTTGATCTCTTGAGTTCAAGGACAGCCTGGTCTACCTAGTCTGTTCTAGGACAAGCCAGAGCTACACAGAGAAACCCTGTGTCGGAAAAAAATGCAAATATTGATTTTGTTATTAATGTGTTTTTCGAAGAGGAAGTTATCAATAGACTATAGTATTGGCTGTCCTGAAACTCCCTAGGTAGGCAGGGCTGGTCTCTTCAGTCTCAGGGGTCTGCCTGTTTCGGCCGCCTAAGTGATGGAGTTAAAGGTATGCATCCCATGCCAGGCCTCATAAGGAGACTTAATAAAAGAGAAAAACCTGTTTTGATAGCAAAATAATTCTTACAGGTTTTTGGCTCCTTTTTAAAAAAAGATGTATTATTTTTACTTGTGTGCATATGTTTGGGTGTGTACATGTGAGTACAGGTGCCCAGAGAGCTATTTACATAAATGCATACATAATGAGGTCTCTGCCTAGATGGTTGTGAGATGCCATGTGATTGCTGGGAATAGAATGTTAGGACCCCTGCTGTTAAATGTTCTTGTCTGCTGAGCCGTCTGTGCAGCCCTGGCCTTGAATTTTCTATGTAACGAAAACTGACGTTGAACTCCAGCTACTCAGGCATCCATCCACCTCTCATGAATTTAGATTACAAGTTTGAGTTACCACACTCATTTTAGAAGTTATCTTAGGTGGTTAAATGTAGAGGAAGATACACCTCAGTATATACATTTTTATAGTGCTTGTTACCAATTATATGTTAGGGGAAGCCATTCCGAAGATATTAGAGCCTTAGTCTGTATTTTTTTAATTACTTTTGATAGGCATATGGGTTTGGTTTGGTTTTTTTAATTAAATTTTCTGGGAGCTAGGGAGATGATTGTATTTGTAAAAAGCACTTGCTGCATAAACAAGGATCTGAATTCAGTCCTAAGAATTCAAAAAAGCCAAGCATGAGTCAGCTGTGGTGGTGTACACCTTTAGTACCAGCACTAGAGGAAGCAGGCAGATTTCTATGAGTTCAAGGCCAGCCTGATTTAAGTTTAAAGCCAGCACTTGGGGTTTAGAGACAAGTGGATCCCTGAGACTCTCCAACTGGCCTAACAATCTGAATTTTGGAAAGCGAGGTAGATAGTGCCTAAGTAACACTCAAGATTGTCTGAGTCTTCACATATTATGCACACATACATAGAATAGTTCTGCAAGGATCATTAGTTTTTAGCGGGGGAGAGGGTCTGGGGCTGGGGAGATGGCTCAGCAGTACAGGTTCTTCCAGAGGATGGAGTTCATTCCTAACACCCACATGGCCTTTCACAACTCTGTAACCTCAGTTCCAAGGGATCCAACACCCTCACCTGGCCTCTGAGCGTTGCATGCTCAATGGTATACAGGCATGACTGCACTGAAAACATCCATGCTAATGTGATATCTCAGTATGTAATGGGTCTCGCCACTGAGCCTGACAACCTGAGCTTGATCCTTGGAATCTACTTGGTGGAAGGTGAGAGCAATTTCTCCAAGTTGGGCTCTGAACTCCATGTGTATATTTGTGTAGCATATGCACGCTTGTGCACATAGACATACACATGCACACAAAATAATCTCCACAGTGTATAATGAAGGACCAGTGAGATGGTTTAGTGGGTGTGAAGGTTTGTATGTTGTTGGCCCAGAGAATGGCACTATTAGGAGGTGTAGCCTTGTTGGAATAGGTGTATGACTGCAGGTGTGGGAGTAAGACTCATCCTAGCTGCCTGGAGGCCAGTCTTCTCCCAGCAGCATTCAGATGAAGATACAGAACTCTCAGCTCCTCCACCATGCCTGCCTGGATGCCGTCCTGCTCCCACCTTGATTATGGACTGAATCTATAAGCCAGCCCCAATTAGATGTCGTCCTTACAAAAGTTGCCTTGGTTATGGTGTCTGTTCTCAGCAGTAAAACTAATACAGTGGGTAAGGACTGCAAGGCTGATGACCTAAGTTTAATCCCCAGATGCCACGTAGAAGGGTGTTTATTTTTGTTTTGTTTTTTTAAAGATTTATTTATTTTATTATGAGTACACTGTAGCTGTCTTCAGACACACCAGAAGAGGGCATCCAATCTCACTATGGATGCTTGTGAGCCACCATGTGGTTGCTGGGATTTGAACTCAGGACCTCTGGAAGAGCAGTCAATGTCCTTAACCACTGAGCAATCTCTCTAGCCCTGTCATCAAGATTTTTTTTTAATGCATTTTCTCTTGAAAATTTTAGTGTCAGTCTTGGTCCATGCCTTTAATCCCAGTACTTAGGAGGCAGAGGCAGGTGGACCTCTGAGTTTGAGGCCAGCCTGTTCAACAGAGCAAGTTTCAGGACTACCACGGCTGCACAGAGAAATAAAACCAAAAAGTTTTAGTGTCTGGGAAGTTTGCTTGCTCTATAGACAGTTTAACAGGAACATACTACAGTGGGTACTTGGTGAGCTCATTCTACTAGAGGTTATCATTTTATTATTTTTGTTTTGTTGGTTGTGGTGTTTTTGTTTGAGACAGGATTTCTCTGTGTAGCCCTAGCTGTCCTGGAACTCGCTTTGTGGACCAGGTTGGAGCTCAGGGGGATCCTCCTGCCTCAGTGTCCCAAGTGCTGGGCTTTAAGGTGTGCACTACCACACCCAGCTGTAAAAATATTTAAAATGTGTGAAGAAAAAATTTTAATTGGCTTAAGCTCTGCAGCATAACAGAAAATGGACTGGATTTTTAACTCGAATCTCTTGACCTACTCCTCAAAGAAGCATGTACTTTTCCTTCATTTTGTACACATATACCTAAATCTCAAGGTGTTTTTTTTTTTTCTGTAAAATATGTGTATTTGTGTGTGTTCATGTGGAGGGGGCACTTATGGGAGGGCCAAGTGAGTGCTGCTGGAGTTTGCTTCAGTCTCCACTGTGTTCACTGAGACAATCTCCCAGTCGATCCCAGAGCTCACAATTCCTCTAATCAAGCTAGCCAGCTTGCTTCAGGGTGCAGGAGTTACATGCAGGCTGGTATGTCATCACATCTACCTGAATTATGGGGATTCAAACTCCTGTCCTCACACAGGTAAATGCTTTATCCACTGAGCCATCTCCCTAGGCCTGAAATCACCTTTTAAAAGATATAAGTATAGATTCAAGGCTCAAAGAAAAATATTAGAAAATCAGAATTCAAAGAACCTTTTAAGTGTTTCAATTATGGCTTAATATTTAGAAATGTAACATTGCAGGTCAGTAAAGCCATGCCAGCATTGGTAGGGTAGAGTGGGTCTGAGACCTAAGACTCCTCACTCCCCTGCCAGACTCCTGGCCTAGAACATGTACCACAGTCCCCACGTAAGAAAACATGGCCTGTGGTCACGTAGGCCCAGAACAGAGTTCTCCATGTTAATGAGGTACCTAGACGTCCCAAGGGCTTAGCCAATAAGCTTCCCTTCTCAGACATTCCTCCCTGCAAAAGGTACTTAATCTTGGGTCCACCCTGAGAAGTGGATACAGTATGGTATGCATCCATTTTCTTCCATGAACAACCACGTGGGGGACATGCAAAGGTCTTCGCCTACAGAGCCACTTCTAAATCTTCCTTCCATAGGCCTCTCTGCACTTCCAGCCTACCTCCACCAAGCTAAAGACAAACACCGCTAGGAAAAGCAGGGTTCCCCTTTTCTCCCTGCCCCAGGCTAGATGCTGTCTCCAGCCAACAGTACCCCCTCCCCACTCTGTTCTCAGATCTTCCTGGACTCCCAGCAGCACCTGGATGTCGTAGAGACAGAGACTCTCCTCAGCTGGCCTTGTTCCTGGGATAAGTGCAGTCAAATTCCCTTCATTCCACCTTCCCAAGAGGCCATGCCCAGTGGTGGGACATAGACCCACATAACATGACCAGCAAACAACACTTTTGTACCGTAAATTTGCTAACACTGCATCATGGCCGACAGCATTTTACTCCTGCCAACACAAAATGTCTATCATCTAAAAGGCACATAGTGGCCTTGAGCTAAAGAACACAGGACAGAACTATCTATACTTAGTGTCCACTGAGTTACAAACCAAAGTACAAAGAAGTGTCTCTAAGTAGACCATGTAAAGGACAATACACAAAAGTGGCACTTTGTAGGCTAGGAAGGTGCTAGTCAGGTGACAGATTCCACTGCTCTGTGCACACCTGTGTCACTGTAAGTATCTATTTCAGGATTACAAATTTTAGCAAGCAGATTACTTACAGAGACTGAATAACTAACATTCACCTTAGTTAACATATTCTGATAGGATTATATCTAAATAACTGGATATGGCTGCCATCTGCCTATAATTCTAACACTCAGGAAAGTTGAAGTATTGAAAGGCTACTCTGAGCAAAGCATAGCAAGACCCTATCTCTGAAGCAAAATATTCAATTGGACTTTCTAAGTGATGGATGTATAGCTTAGTGGTAAAACATTTGCCAGGCATACACAAGCCCCTGGTCCAACCCAAACAGTACCAAGAAAAACTAACAGAAACTGTTGTACTGGCTGATTTTGTGTGTCAACTTGACACAAGCTAGATTCATCAGAGAGGAAGGACTCTCAGTTGAGGAAATGCCTCCATGAAATCCAGCTGTAAGGCATTTTCTCAATGATCAATGGGGAAGGGCCCAGTCCATTGTTAATGGTGCCATCCCAAGTCAGTTGTCCTGGGTTCCACTAGAAAGTAGGTTGAGCAAGCCAGGGGAAGGAAGCCAGTAAACAC